CACCTTGAAGAACACCAGAATTATTAGCAAGTGGTTTTGATGTCCTTCTTTCTAATTTGGTGCACTGGACTCTCCGTGTGAAATAGTCGGCAAGCCATGAGAGCAGTTGTTTTGGAGTACCAAAAGATTCAAGTTTGAAAAGAAGAGCTGATCGGGAAACAGAATCAAACGCAGACGAATAGTCAAGAAAAACACAACGGACAGACTTGACCGAATGGTGCAATGACTTGCTGATGAAATGCACTGGAGTGGATAAGGTGCCCAATGTAGATCTGTTTTGTCATACAACATCAGATTTTTCGCCACCCACCAACATTACATACATTCATAAGTGTGTGTTCAAATAACACCTATGCACAATAGATGCTGCCTCCTCCTATCATAAGTTTGTCTCCAATTCTTTGAATGACAAATCCAAATGTATGCACTGCTTTCGACTCTGTGCCCCGTTCTTGTTTGCCTAACAAACTGCAAGGATCTCAATGTCCCTCTCTGATTGTTATATGCAGAAAAGATTACTGCACTGTGTTAGTATGTCAAAAAAAGACAGTCAACGACGTCATTCAATAGTTCGGGTTTACTACAAAGTGCTGCATTATGACCATATCGTTTTACAACTTTCATCAGTGACTTAACTGGTACCCTTCTTGTGTTATATCCCATTTAGGTAGGCAAACAACCACGTAGCGAATTGGACAGTCCGTTTATCTGAACTAGGTACACGTGTAAGCCAGGGAGCAAGCGGGGGCGCACGCTATGTAGGCATGTATGCAAACAGGCCCACAAGTGGTTCAAGCGTCACATGACATTCGAATTTCGTCAAGCGGACAGTCAAACAGTCACCGTATCAATCGGCGTGGAAGGTTCAATACTGACACCTGATTGGCTGCAGGCGATGGTGATTGTGTTCAAGTTAGTCCACTGGACGTGAGTGCGTGCGTGCGTGTCTGCATCGACCAATCAATCAATCAGTCAAACAGGTCATAGGCATGCACGAAAAACACTGCAGTCAATCGTAGGTCATAGCATCGTATTCATCATTTCAAGAATGCCGACGATATTGGCACTTCTGTGCCTATTGCTAATCATTCCGAACCGTCCCGCACCACATTCGGAATATTTACAGATTGAAGAAAAATCAATGAGCAGAGTCAGCCATGGCATTCTAGATTGATGTCAGTTTTCAAAGTAATCTGGTTAATCTATATGTCTTCAGAATGTTACGTGACAGGTGAAAGTATTGCCCCTCGAAATAAGAAAAATGCTTCATTCTTACACTGATCAATCAGAGATGGTGAACTTTGTTCAGCAGTGCATTTTGCCTATCCCCGTATGGTGCTCTCCCGTGAGTTTCCTTGGTGTGCTGAGGACTGATTTCACGTTGCCCAGGTGGAGTTGTAAAGTGAACCTCCGAATGCCTCAGTATGGTCGAGGGTGGATGTTTCGGATTGCGGCACCGCGATACACGTTCCCACAAGACCAAGCGTCTCCAATAGTTCTGCTGAGGAAGCCCCCCACTCACTGCTTTCTCTTGGCGGTGTTTCCCCACTAAAACGAGAGGACGAAAAGCCAATATCCGGGGCTATAACCGGGTCGGTGAACCACAGGGAGTTTATTTAGGGGCGTGTGTGCCCCTGATTCCAAACCAACCGCGAACAGTTGTACGAACCACGCGTACACCTCCCTGGACGTGGTAGTGGTCGCCAGTTCGATTGCGCATCGAGGTGTATTGGACACCTGGGACGCTTGACCGCGTCCGAAGGGCGCATGATCCAATGAAATGGATACCGGTTCCCAATGGATTGCGGTTTTCACAAACTGCCCCGCTGTCTTACGGCTTAAGCTTTGATCAACCGACGGCTCCGGTCGTGAATTCCCAACAAAATTTATCCGGCTTGGCCTGGGCAGCCTGGCAGTATCGTGCCTACAAACAAATCATGGAACTTTCTCCTTTTTATAAAGATTATTGTACTGCGATTTGTTTGGCACGGTCTGGATGCAGATGCGTGTGAAATACATACAGGCACATTGCAAAGTGACCAGCCATGTCTCCCAGGTTCTTTATCTCTACTTATGAAAAATATTTGTGATGCAAACATTACTACCTACGTGAGTTTTACGAACAAATTTTGGTCTGATACCATGCATCCATTACAAACCAACCTGTCTGCATGCAATTTCCATTACACCGACCGTTCCAACTACCTACTTATCCCATTTTGCATATCTGTGCACGGAAACTCCTTAATGACATCCATATCTTACTCGCTATACAGAGGGTTAGAGACAGCTCTATACTCAACAGAGAAGGGCGCCTGGCTTCTTCCGTCACCGGTAACCAAACGTTCTAGTCCCTTGCAAAAATGGTTTTCCAAAACTTCCTTTCCAACATTCCTTCCACTTGCAATTCCTGTGTCTTCCTGCTTGTTGGACCTCTTAAGAAGGTAGTCTTTGCTTACTGGTTGGCTTCCAAACCCACTTTATCTAAATACTAATCTTTAGCTTCCACCCCATTAATTCAGGTACTCTATTCTACCGCACACAAAAACAAAAAGGTTCACTAATTTGGTATACTGTTGAAAGGTTTTGTAACTCTCATCGTCAACCAACTGCGTGTGATAACCAAACGTGAAGACGTAGCGAATCCGAGTTGATAGTTTTCTCTCCGTTGCTTCCCGTAAATATTGCAGTTCCACTCTTTCTCTCGGACCAGGTTCAACTTGATGCAATACGATCAACGATCCCCGCTTCACCCCGAATCTGCACTCACCTTCCCATCTCTGGACATTTCTGTTATTATCATTTTTTGCTACCGTTTCTGTTTTCGTTTCTACTTCAAAATCACCTCTCAGTTAATACGGGGTGGAGGTGTGGGCTAATAAGAAACCAGTTTGTACTCACCATCCTTCATAAGTTATCCTCACGTACAATCCCAATTTTGGTCTGTGCATGAATAACCGGATGAACTGAGGAATGTGCGTGAGGGTAAAGTCCGAAGGCCGGTCAGTTTCTGTTCGCTAGAAATCGCCTCAACAGTTTGTATTTCCTTGTCTCAGCCATCTCAATTACAGGCGGCCAGCCGCCCTAACAGGTTTATGTCTTCACATGTCCCACTTCTGTCTTTCACTTTTTCTCTGCTTACCAAAAGCATATTGTTGTAGAACACCCCATTCTCGTATTTCCAACCACTTACAAAATTTCGTCCTTCGAGTGCAGGATCGAAACATTAGTTCTTGCATCTCAAAGATTTCCCGTCCCTGTTTTTGTTCAACCAATGTGGTTTACTCGTTTTTGTTATATGTCACATTATGCTACACAAAAAGTATAAAAACCTGACACAAGATTGGGAAATTTTGTAGACACTTGGCGCATATATTTATCCCAGTTATGGGAAAGCAGAACTTTCTGTTTGTCAAATCAAATCGGGTTAAAAGTAACTCAACCCCTCTTTTGCATAATTCGGAAGACACGCAACTCCAATTTTGAAGGCTAATCATATTTCAACCTTTGAGGGTGGAATGTGGCTTAAGTAATCATTGATGGGATTAGACGAAATTACGGCATTTACAAACAATTTTCTCCTTGCTTGATTTGATCTCATATTAGAACTTTCCTGTTCTATTCCCTTCAATCAGTAAATGGTGAACCAGTTAAAAAAATTCCGTTTCCGTATTTAATGGCACAAGTTGTAATTGATGTGATGATAACGTTACTAATCCTGCTCCACTTGTTCCGTTTTTGTATTATTCTACTGTTTTGTTCTGGAACCAGAAATGGGTTTTGCAATCTGCAAGACATATTTCTCCTCAGCAGGGGTCTGAATTGCGGATTATTGTGCCATAAGTCGGTCCCTCCCCAACCTGCCTGCTCCACAGGGTCTGTTAGTCTCACTTTTCCAGGTTTTATTTATGTAGTACCATACAATGAGGATTTTTCACCTTCAAGAAAACCAACCTCTAAATTTTGAACCCTTTTGAAACAGTAACTAATAAGTACACAGTCTCCTTAATGTCACACTTCACACTTCCACTGGGAAGCTCACAAACATGCAACTAATCTTTCTTTATATTACATGATGAATTTGTCGTGTAAATGATGTATGAGCTGAAAAGCTGGGAAGAAACTGGACAGATGTTTCAACCTGGTTGAGTCTCATCAGCGGTACTAATCCACCAATGCAAATAGGGATCGAACCTGAGAACTCAGAAATAGAACGCAAACATAGTACCTACTAGACCACCTGGTAGTTAATCCCACCGCTCCTTTACAATTTGAGTTGTCGTGAACAGAAAACAAAAAGAAAGCGCTTTTTGTTGCGCTAAAAGTTTTTCTACCGAAGGCAATGAAGACCTGATGTTAATCAACCTATTCTTACACAAAAATATGAAGTTCACAAAAAAGATTTATACAAACTTATCAGTAAGAAACACTAGATAATGGGGTTAAAGAGGAAGAAGATTGGTAGCAGTCACAAACGTTTAATGTGCTATCTCATCAACGTATGTAAAGTTGTGGTGCTGGTCCCAGCAGGTGAAACACACCACGTTTAACATCTCCAATCATATGTATTCACCAGAAGTCCCATACGGCGTAGTTCAACCACATCAGACTGACTTCGAAGCCTATAACGGGCGTTGGCAGCGTTTCAAACACCGCGACATTTGCGGAGAAATTATAAATGGAAAAAGTCCCTGTTTAAATGACATGAGAGTACAGGTTTGAATGACATATCAAAAGTGTGATGAAGACACATAAATATATGCTTCCTGATATCTTAAATATAGATGAAATTCGTGTTATTTGCCGAGATTTTTCGGACTAAACCCTCAGAGGCCGAGAATAGAATAACAGAAGACGGAGGTAAAGAAAACAGCAGCCAACTGTACCAATTTATTGCAACTAACTGGGCAAATTGGACGATCAAACACACCTGGTAGATTCAAAGGTGTTGCGACACTACCTTTTGCCTGGCGATGGAACACAAGATTTGAATGATAGCTCTACTGTTCTTCGAGTGACTACTCATTCATTCAACGGCACGATGCATCCCGAAGACGGCCATGCTACTTTCATTCTCATCAAAGCACCTGTCAGTGGCGTTGACCCTCCTATTTAGCTCACGAACATGCCCGGGTTTGTTGCATCAGCTAAACCAGGTCATATTACAGATTTGCACAATAGTTCACCTTTTATGCTTTTCCTATAATGAGGAAACACTAGAGATTGTTATGTAACATGATCGAAAACAATAAAAATGTTAAACCTACCAATGAATCTCTCAAAAATTCCGGCCTAGAAAATCCCGTCATTCAATCAGAGCGGAGGAGTGGTGACACTTGCGAGGTTTAATTGTATAACATTTGCAGTTTGCATGACTGATCATCTCTGCTATTTAATCTTTACCAATAATTCTGCATTATTATGTTTGACCGCATATTCGGTCAGAATTCACGGTAATGCTTCTAATTACTTCCGATCAACTCTGACCCATGGATAAATGCGCTGGTGCTGAAATCGTCATAAAGGTTCATCTGATGTATCACGCCATCACTTGGGGAAGTGGCATTTCGGACGATGTGAGTTCAAGCCCTGTTTAGAGCGCATTTCAATCAACAAAGGCCGGTGCACATTACTGTCAGGAGCCCGTAACCCAATAACACATGAAATCATAACACCCAAGATAGCTTGCTGACCGGAAACGGGTTAGCTACCGATGAATGGTCGTGAGAATACATGACTCGATTAAACAGTGGCCTAAAACTAGGTCAAGTTGGCTCGCGGACAGAATGGCCTGGACGGATATTGGTCAATGACTGCAGTGACCAACCGCACCACGTGATTAGACGACCAATGGAGACCGATGGACGAATGTGTACGTAGTAATGAAAATCCACTGTCAGTGCTCAATCACTCAGTTGCCTTATTGACTTCCATAACTCAAACAGAATATCACGAAACTAACTATTGAAATACTTCTAAGAATAGCAACTCAGTAAATTCGGATGGCGGCTGTTTCAGTCACACTAAGATAACTTATGACTGAACATAAAGACTTTTATCCTAGTGATATTATTCAGTACCACACTCTCGTTTTCACACAACTTTTCCCGCATGGCGTCTATGAATCCTCGAAATTACTCTACATAACTCCTTATATCGGTCATTACAGAGATTTCTATCCAGTTAGCAATTTCACTTCCTCTATTGCAAAATTGGTTCACGTAATTGACTTAGCCCCCCCTTACTGTACCTTTGACCTTCGGCATAATGTCTTAGAGATTTATATTTATTTATATATTTATATTTATATATTTATATTATATATACATATATTTATTTATATTTATCGCAAGCGCTTAATTTTAAGTGTAAAAGTCACACGGATTTGAAAAACTCGCTAGCAGCAGTCGACCACATTACTGGCACGAAATATACAGTGATTATCTTTGTGATATGTTTCTCAGCGAAAATGTTATCGCCCAAAACTTTGTGCTTCATTTATTCAGTGACAGATAAAATGTTCAGGAATGTTGGGCTTGTCAAAGTGATTCTGAGTACGAGAGGATCGATAGAACAAATCGTCAGAAACTCAGCAAGAGTTTTACACCTTTCAGTGTTCCAAAAACTACGAATTTGGAAATGGAGTGATACAATTGTGTGTCACATTGAGTGTAAAACTCCTATTGGGTTGGTGACTATATATATATATATATGATGTTCAGTTGTTCGCCGAGCTTGGCAATTGTATTGCAAACGTTTCATCAC